TCGCGATACATATTGATATTGAATTATTGTCCAGCCCTACTTTGAGAAGTGTTCTACTGTTCAATAGTAATTTTTTTTAAGTTCAAAATTTTCGTTTTGGGTTTGAAAGTAAAGACTTTTGAGTTTCTGTGGGTATCTGACGATCATTTTTATCAACTGAAATGGTGAAATGCTGGTAAAATGAACTATCAGAGCAGTTCTGAAGTTGAATTTCATGGTTTCATTGAGATGGACGGTTTATTCGTCTAAACATTTCCTAAATTCCATGATATTCCACATTATACAGTAAAATCTATTTTTATGACTGGTTTCCACAATTCAGTCTACGTTAGAGCTTTTATATTTGTGTCCCAATGTGTTCCAGTGATCCTGAATTTGTTCCTCTATGTGTCTCTGATGTTTCCTCTTTATCTGCTCTTCTCTTGTATTTGTTACTAGCAGCCGAGAATGAGAGGAAGAGGATGGAACCGGGGAAACTACCCAGGCAACAACAACAACAACAACAACCCTCCCAATATGGGCGGCCCTTCACGGCCCCCGGATGAGGAGTGGGACCCTGAATACACCCCCAAGAGTCGGAAATACTTCCAGGTGTGCTAACATTGATCTCATATACACGTGCCCCCGTAAACATCACGTTAAAAACAAAAACTGGTGGTGGGTTGCTTGGCATGTCACTCAGTCTCTTCCTGTATAAGTGAGCAATTTTGGGACAGTGTAAGCTGCATGGTGGCCAGTTGGAGAGTTTCAATTTACGTCTCTCTCATCTAACTGCAGCACGACGACCGGGACAAGGAAGGGGAGATGAAGTGGGTGGACACTCGGGGGCGCGGCAGAGGAAATTACCCACGTGGCAGGGGCACCTTCTTGGTTCGCAAGAGCGGCGGCAGCCCCAAGTGGACCCACGACATGTTCCAGGGCAACGCTGAAGAGGGAGAAATTGAAGATGGAGGCGCAGAGCACAAAGATGATGACAAGTCTGGGGAAAACACAGCTTCCAAGCCATAGACTGATTCGTATCCATTTGTGTCTGTTTTTCTCTACTGTCTCTAACTCTGTGAGCCCTCGTGAAAAATGCATCTTTGTGTGTTCAGATGTTGGACTGTAGAACCCCAAATGGTAGAGCCATGTCATTTATAGCAACAAACCATCTGCTATTATTTTTCAGTTTTTTTTTTTTGTTTTGTTTTTCTTTCTCATTTTTGGGGTTGCGGGGGGTGATTGAAAATATAAATTCTGCCATTTGGTGGCTAAAATTAATTGATTTTCATTTAAAAAGTGCAATAAATCTGTGCACTTGTGCCTTAGATTTAACTGTAGTTTTATGATTCCTTTTTTACTTTTTATTTGATTTTTGATTTTTCCAGTAGATTTCCCCTTTTCTGTTTAGAAGTGCATGTAAATTCATTTATACATGCTGCAATCTTTTATATTTCTTCTCTTTTGGTGTATGGTTCAGTCTCATTGGCGCATATCCCTTGTGGACCAATACACTGTGTACTGGGCCGATTTTCTCCAGAAAATTGTCTGTTAAAAATGTAAAGATTCATTCTTCCTAACCAATTGGCTCTCAGTTATATTTAACATCCGATTTAGTTAATTTTCTTCCCTTAAATTATGCCACTGACTAAAAAAATTGTCCACTTACTTTGTGAAGTGTAATTAAAAAGGTTTTTTTTCCTGTTTTGAGCAACAAAAAAAATTGTCATAAGTTTTAGATTGTCATTCATCAGATTTTAAAGTGTAGATAATAATAGAACATGCAAGACGAAGCTTATGATGCATTTATTGCATTGTTGTGTTAAACTATCAAACAAATTGTAAAATAGTTCATGCTGCATGTTTAGATCATGTAGTTTTTCTTCCATTGATCTCTGTACGCTGCACTGTTCACTTGTGCTGTAAGGATATAACCGGAGGACTCGGCTGCTTTCTTTTCAGCGTAGAAATCCTGCTTTGTGATGACAGTACTGTAATGCTGTGACCTAACATTCTGTTAACATTTACAATGTTAACTCTGTGCTTTGTCTCCATGGTAAATTTGAAATAAAACCCGTCCTCTGTTTGCTACATGTCATCTTGTTTTTGTTTCGAGTTGCATTGGCCTTGCAAGACCCATCGGTGGAGGGAACAGCTGCTCTCAACAGCTGGAGCCTTTTAGAGATTTTATGAAGAGGTAGTACTAGTTACTCAATGTGATATGAGCTGTTTCATGATTAAATTCACAGTTTATATATATTTGTTGTACTGTACTGCAGGACTGTTTTGCACTTTTACACATTTTAAGTTTCAGTGTGCCCAATCTTGCTCCTGCAAAGCTGAGCTCCAACCTGCTGAAACACACAAACCTGTAAATTTCTAGTAATCCTGAAGACCATGATTAGTGGGTTCAGATGTGTGTGATTAAGGTTACAGCTAAACACTCCGCAGGAAGGAGGCCCTCCAGAAGCAGGATTGGACACTTGGTTTACAGTGACAGAAGAAAAGCAGTGAGTAAAGTGCATTTGATATTCTTTCCTGTAATAATTTACATAATAGGT